TTTTTTTTTTTTTTTTTATCCCATGCTTTGTAATTGCATTTGATAAGACAAAATTGGAAAGATTTGTATGGAAAAGCTTCCTTGACTTGGTCAGTTCCCTTGCAGGTTTGTTCAGATTTTTTCACAAACTCTTAGCAGCCTGGACACCCTCGATATGGGAAAATGGGAGGGAAGGTGTTGTTATTCGCAGTTCGTTTTGCAGATATTAATTTGCATGTTAAATAATTGTTCAGAGTTACTGAATTATTTCAAAGTCTGATAAAGGGCTGTGGAACAACATAAACTCTCTCCTTTTCAAAAAAATGAAGTGATCTTGAACATTTTCACCCTTTTGTGTCAGGACCAGTGAATTAATGTATGAAGTTTTGGATGAATCTTTAAGGAGAGCAGAGATCAATCACAACATTACCTATGGTAGGTGAAATAAGATTTTCTAATGTAAGGGGAGCAAAATGTGACTTTGTCAGTTGTAATACTAGGCATTCCTGTTGGTGGCAGTCATACTTATAAATTTCTAGGTTAGTGTTTCTTAAACTTGGCAGCTCCGTGTATGGAGTTCAGTTCCCAGAATTCCTTAGCCAGTGTCCTGGAATTCAGGTTGCCTTTCCCTTTTAAGGCAAAATTACATGGTGGTGATCAGGATGGTTTCAGAGCACCTGACTTGGCTGGTTTTAAATGCAAACTTGCTTGGCTTTTCCATTAAGTAGTTGACTCTGTCCTTTAGAGTCCTGAATCACACATGGTTTCACTCCCAGTATTTGGAACTGCAAGACATTGTACTGCACAATCAGTATATCAGATTTAAACACAATCTCTTTTAAAGAGATTAAAAGAAGCATAGATTTCTTGAAAGAGTATTGACATGCGTGCTCTAATTAGAGCCAGTTTGGTCTAGTGGTGAAGGCCCCAGGCTAGAAAGCAGGAGACAAGTCCCGCCTAAGGCATGAGAGCCGGCTGGGTGACTTTGGGCCTGTCCCTCTCTCCCAGCCCAACTCACCTCACAGGGTTGTGGTTGTGGGGAAAATAGGGAGAGGAAGGAGTATTAGGTATGTTTGCCGCCTTGAGTTAGTTATAAAAATAATAAAGGTGGGATAAAAAAAATCTAAAACAAATGCACTGCTAATGCTTTCCTGTCTGTCTCAACTGGTTGGATTAGTTTGAATATTTATGTGTTGTTTTATTTTTTGTGAGTCAGATCTCCCACGTTCTCTTTGCCTTTTCTGCAGCAATCTTGTTTGAATGCGTCCACACCATTTACACAATTCACCCAAAATCTGATTTGCTTGAGAAGGCTGCCAAATGTATTGGGAAATTTGTCTTGTCGCCTAAAATTAATTTGAAATATTTGGGTAAGTTCTCTCATTTTTACAACCCAGCGGAATAAATGCTGAATGCCTACAGTTTCATTTTTCAAACTTTCCAGTTACTTTTTTCCCCTAGGATTAAAGGCCTTAACATATGTCGTCCAGCAGGACCCCAATCTTGCTCTGCAACATCAAATGACAATAATTGAGTGTCTGGAACATCCTGATCCCATTATTAAAAGAGAGGTAATAAAACTGAGTAATGTTTTTTGTAATGGAGTTAGGCACCCTTAGCAATTTAATAAATAAATAAATGTATTTTTTCGATTATTCCAGTAACTTGTCCTTAAACTGAATGCAACCTATTTCTTATCATCCCTTCCCTCTGTTTCACTTGAGTGAAATTAATTAAACCTTTATCCACCCTGCCTTCTCCTTCAGACCTTGGAACTTCTGTATCGAATAACCAATGAACAGAATGTTACTGTCATTGTGCAGAAGATGCTTGACTACATAAATCAAAGCAAAGAAGAATATACCATCATCAATATTGTTGGAAAAATAGCAGAGTTAGCTGAAAAATATCCTTTTACTTGCTGCAAATGCTTGTTCCTGTTAGGTGTACTTCTGTATCTGTCCACATGTTTGTTTGTATTGATGTATCATTTTGATGGTTGTTCCCTTTTATTGCATCTAAAACTCAATTAATGACCACAACTGGGACTGGCAACTCCATTGCTAAGCGAGACATCACATGATTGCAACGGACTTATGACCTCACTTCCGCCATAGTTGTTAAGTGAGATATCATGCAACTACGACTTGTGATTTTACTGCCGGCTTCTCTGTTGATTCTACTTGTCAGAAGCTGGCTGTGAAGCGTGCAAATGGCAATCATGTGACCACAGGATGCTGCAATGATTGTAAACACCCGCTAGCTGTGAAGTGCCCAAATCTCAATCATGTGACCATAGGGACACTATGACAGTTAAGTATGAAGGCCAGTCATAAAGTTATTTTTTCAACACTGATGTAACTTTGAACCGTCGCTAAACAGGACAGTTGTTAAGCAAGGACTACCTGTAATATGTAGAGACTTGTGTAAATGCCTTGCTTTCATTTCTAGTCCCTGAAAATTTTAATAATCCTTTCCCCTCTTTGTGTGCAAGTAACTTTAATAAAGAAATGGATGATTTGAACCCTGTAACAGAACCGTTGATGCTGTGTTGATGGTACTATTGTATCCTTTCCTTAATGTCCCTGGCACATATGCTCCAGACAATGAATGGTTCATCCGGACTATGAATGCAGTGTTTTCTGTAGGAGGAGATAAAATGCATCCTGACATTCTAAACAGTTTCTTGCGACTTCTTGCTGAAGGTGAGTAAACTATGCATGAAAATGATGCGATCCCATTATTAAAAAAATAATAAAGGAATAGCCATTTCCAACAATTAAAAAAAAAAAGCTGGGATGTTTTTCTTAGGCTTTGAAGATGAAAAGGAAGACCTTCAGCTGCGGTTTCACGCTGTCCAATCTTACCTGTCGTTATTAGAGGATGAAAATGCAGTTTATCCACAGAAATTTCTTCAAGTGATGAGTTGGGTAAGAAAAAACATTTAAACAAAGAAAGATGAGATGTTTCAATATGGGTAAAATCTGAGTATAAATAGACAATTAAATCTTGGAGGATTGAATTTTAATTGTACTGTACACAAATCTAGATGGATTTAGAGTATTTGGAGAAATTATTATGCATTGGTAGCAATGCAAGAATACATAAGAATGACTCTCCTTTGTGTGATTCAGATGGAACTTTAGTTATGACATCATTATCACTGCTTGATGTAACCACAGATAAAATTACTACCTAAAAGAATCCAATTTGGGTCCAAATTGTATTACTTGATTTCATTTGTCTATATACTTAACTATAAAAAAACCCAAACAAGACAAGCACACCAGATTTAAAACATTATTTTTTTGCCTTTCAATTAAGATCATATCATTAAGAAGCAAAATTTTGAGTAGATAAATAACATTATCTATCTGACAGTAATAAATATTTTTTATTGCAAACTTATTAAAAACTTATTAAAAACAGTTTTGGATTTTGCTCCTCTTCTTTCATTCTTTGGTCATTCTATTTTTAAGTGTGAGGGTAAATACATTCAGTATAAGCAATAAGAAAAGAGAGTATTAGAAACAATTGAAGATGAAAATTCTGTTATTATTGAACTTTTGGCTTTAAGTGACTCAAGTCCAGTCATTCCTTTTACCTATGTCTCATTGATCACGATCATTAACAACTTTTTAAGAAGTACGTCTATTTCAGGTAATAGAAAGTAAATCTGGTCAATGTTGCTCTTGCATTCGGTACGGCAGTTCCTTAAACTTGGGAAGATTCACAATTGGAATTTCCATTCGCATTAGAACATTGTGCTTTAAAATTATTTTCTACTGTTGAGTAATCTTGATGTTTTAATTTGCTCCTGACAGGTATTAGGGGAGTACAGTTACCTCCTGCAAGATGTGGATCCTGAAGTTGTTTTAGCAAATTTGTATCGGATCCTTAAAAACAATGCCACTTCTGAAACCAAAGCTTGGATTATGGCTGCATTTTCTAAAATAGCTTCTCGTACGACTTGTTCAAAGACAGTTGACACGTTTCTCTTGGAATGCAGTACCTCTCTGGATACCAGCATGAGACAGCATGCATTTGAATTAAAATATCTCTATGAAGATAAAGAATTGATGAAGAGGTTGTTTCCATTTGATGCGAGTTGTAAGAACATTGTGGTGAGTTTGTGATGATGATGATACCATATGTGTGATGGTATGTGGGAATGACCTTGGGAGATAGGAGGACTAGGCAACAGTCAGATAAGAGGCAGCTGAGCCTGCAGAAGGAACGGGGGTATGGTCTCAGAAGAGACCCTCCCTAGTTTCTTGGACTTAAATGAGAAGGGGGAGAGATGTACTTTCAGACTTGCAAGATTCTGTTAATGTAACCTTACAATAAAGTTAGAGCTAATACTCCTGAGTGTGCTTCTTGTCTGAACTACCTTGAAGGGCTGACAACTGTTTGGGCATCACTGCTGCTTATTTCTTGGGAATTAAGGACTTCTTCTGAAAACACTTAGAAGAGGAGGGTTGTGTTTTTAAAATTTGCACAGCTGTAAACAAAAGATCTAGGACAGACATTGTACTTGGAATGGTGCAGAGATTGTTTTCCATAGAAATAAAATCTAATTCCAGGCTTATGCATTTAACTTCTTATTGAGGGCATCTGATTCCAATTAGCTTCTTGCAAGGACCTCAACTTACCTTTATGCCATCAGAACAACATGTTGTGAATGAGCAGTGTGATCTAGCATGTCTGCAAGTCTACTGAAAAAAAAATCCAGAATTACTCATCTCTAGTTTATCAGTTAGTGATGATAAATCCTTAAGTAGTGTGTATAGAATTATAGGGAACAAGCTGTTCTTAAAAAATACAGTATGATGTTTCCCTTCTGCAATGAGCTTTTAAAGCCAAAGATCTTCAGCTTTCTGTTTGTGCTTTCTAATGTCGTTTGCCATAGTATGCCCCACTGAGAAGTCCTTGTCTGGTAGATGTACATTTAAGAATAAAATGGTGGCGGTAAACATTGTAAGTTTGGAAACAGTTTAAAAAATGGAGTATGTTTGCAGCGACATTGCAAACTGGTTCCTTTAAAAATGTTTAATCATCTTCAACCCATCTCTGATTCAATACAGGTTGATGCTTCCTTATCTTTCTTAGATGGGTTCGTTGCTGAAGGACTGGACCAGGGTGCATTGCCCTATAAGCCTCATCACCAAAGACAGGAAGAGAAACTGTCCCAGGAAAAAGGTGATTGATTTTTCCCTGTAATAAATGAACGCCCTGAATCACCTAACCAGATACTTTTTCCAAGCTTTTGCAGCAGACATCATGTTCTGGCTTGACATCCGTGTCAGATTTAGAAATCGGTGAAAGTTTTAAATCTTTCATGTTTTGCCATTAAATTCTGTGCTGCCCCCCTCTTTTTGCAGCCCTGTGACCATACTGGTGAATTTTGGCAATGTGGTTCCCTGTCCTTAGAGGGGGACAGTCACACAAACTATAATGTAACCTACAGTATACTCTGTAGATCAATGTTTCTCAACCTTAGGAACTTTAAGGTATGTGGACTTCCACTCCCAGAATTCCCCCGCCAGCTACCATAGCGGGGGGATTGTTAGGGGGGGGGGGGGAAATGGGGGGGGGGAAGGTCAACATACCTTAAAGTTCCTAAGGTTGAGAAACATTGATCTACAGAGTATACTGTAGGTTACATTATAGTTTGTGTGACTGTCCCCCTCTAAGGACAGGGAACCACATTGCCAAAATTCACCAGTATGGTCACAGGGCTGCAAAAAGAGGGGGGCAGCACAGAATTTAATG